TGCTATGGGCGGAGTCTGGTAGATGTCAATCTAAATATGATAGGCCACGCCCACACAAACTTAATAAAGTTTCTGAACAGCAAAAAGGGCTTCGTTTGAGTAAGGTGTATTAAAGTCGTTGACTTAAACTTCCTCTAAAAATTATATTTTATTTGAGGATTCTTTTTTTCTTTTTAGGACAATTAATGTTATCTCAAATGATTAATAGACATCCAGTGATGTGAACCGAACAATAAAAACTGTCCACATCAAAGGTCATCTGTCATCATTGCCAGCATCTTTGAAGGTCATTACATAAGGCCCTGTCATTTCACCATCTGATATTGTTTTCACAGGCTTCTTATTATTACTACCTGTCCTTTAGATAACTGACTTTTTATCACATCCAAGTCCAGTTGTGTAGCCACTCAGTCTGACTGTCCTCGAAGATTCATCCAGTCAGGGTGAGATCTACCAGCTTTTAAAGTTTTATGGTTTTATGGATTACAGCTCAGCCTGCTCAGAGTCGTCCTGCAGGCTTGCCCCCGGCTGTAACAAGAGGGCAAACAGTTTGACCCCCAGTGGACTGTGCCAGCATGGCAGGAGGCTGGCATGAACTCTGTTGCCTTGAAGGCAATGATTGACTTTGATACCTCACCAATTTTATAAGAAAAACAAAGTGTTTAAGATGAGTATGAAAGGCAGAGGAAAACAAAGCTTTGAAGGGAGGAGTGGAAGTATGATTTTGAACGGGGTCCTCCATGTAGGTTGAATCAGGAAAGTATACATAAAAAAAAAAAAAAAAAATCCCACCTGTGCTTGGTTACAGGAATAACGGCAGTATTTTGATTAGCGTGTGGGTGGAGGACAATGAAAGCAGCATTCCAAAGGTTAAGGTAAGTCTCAGCTGATCTTTGACATCATATGTGGGTCTCCTGAAGTCACATGGGGGAAAAAGTTCCATCACATCTAATGGGTTAGTCAATAAATAACCAAGGGGACTGTAAAAGAGTGTTGGAGCTTCTTCTCCATACTGTAAGTCGCTGTGAACGCCCAGTGTCATGCTCACATCGTGTGAAGAGAGAGGGGGGGGTACAAAAATCACTGCTGTAATCAAAAACTGATATCAAATACACATGATATTACAACAGGAGCTCAGCCTCTGGGCGTCAACACCAAATAAATCAATAACGTAGAACCTCAATTATTTATAAACATTTTAATTATTAATTTGGTGCTGAGTGTGGCTTTTGTGTTTCTCTGCGTGATAATTGAAGGCTGAATTTTATCCTTCTGAAAAGCAGTGGTGCAATATTTGCAGATATAATGAAGAAGAAACGGTGATTTACTACTTTAAACTGTTTATCTCTCAAGTGTTTTAAATGTATTCAAAGAAAGATATTCATGACATTTAATGTGGTAAAAGTGAGAGTTATCTTAACTCATTTTATGTTTTAACTTGGTAATTTTTTATCTTACTTACTTTGTCTATTTAAGTTTTACATCTCCAGGTGTCCAGCTGTCCCAACTTTTTTGAAGCGTATTCCTGGAATCAATTAAAAAATGAGCATTTAATTTTCCAAAAGGGTCACAATGTTTTGCAAATCATGAGGATCATTAGAAGGAAAACACTTCTTTGATTCTTATATCCCGGTTACATTGAAGTAAGGGACATGCCTGCTGCACACAAGATGATGATTATTCATTGATCTTCATGGTCTTGGTCTTGTCTCTGTCTCGCCATGCCTTGGTCTAAGTCTTGACTTGGTCGATCCCTAAATGTCTTGGTCTTGTTTCGGTCTTGGGGCACTCTGTCTTCGGGTAGGTCTTGGTCTCGGTTAGTGTGCTCTTCATTACAACACAAGTCTTTTGTATGAATAAGTCTGTGTAGGCATAAACACATGTTGACTAAAATACATCATTTGATTGGCTTTTGTTTTTGTGTTTCATACATCAGACAGTTATGACAATGGTTTGATGTTTTACTGGGGATATTTTACTCTTATTTAATCACAAATTTTATTTTTCCTGTATTTAGAAACATGTTGGTTTCATTTACATCATGTATTTGTAGATACATGTAATTATTAGGCGTTTTCCTGGTAGGTGTAGTTGTTTTGATGAATACTGTGTACCCGATGGTCCCTGAGCTGCTGTGATATCATTTGCTGTAATTGGGTGTAATGATTGTTGGTCATGAGCTGTTGTTATGAAGCGGGATGATACACGCTTTAGATCACCTGGGAGTGTTGCTAGCTCTTAAGGCTAATTAGAATAACAAAGACGGACTCTATTTTCTGTTTTATTAAGATGACTTGTTATTTATTTATTTGTGAGCCGGCTCTGTATGTGATAAAAGGTTTCGGAGGCAGGAGTGTGACAGTCTGTTCAAACATGCAGCTAAGAGCCTAAAAAAACCTTTTACACCATGCAGGGATCAATCTGTGGGGAGTGTTTCACACATTAAACTAACTCTGGTGACCAAAAGGAGATTAAAAAGCATCACTTGGGACTTTTTAAA